GTTTCCCTTTTATCCGTCTGAACTACTGTTTGAATACAACTTTAGTGATCCTGTTCATTAGAGGATAATTAGAGTTGTTTGTAGCTTTAAGATTTTAAGGTTTAAGCTATGTGTACACATGGAAAAGAGGTCTCAATATAATTTAGAAATACAGCAACCAATTGATCAAGTTTCTGCTGAAGTGCTTCATTAATATTTTTTTTTTTTTTTATAAATAGTAGTTCCAGGACAACAAAAGGTCTTTTAACTTCTCTAAATTCAAATTTATCCCAGCTGTGTTTTATAGAAATTTTCTTTGGTTCAATTTAAATGCAACAAACTTATATAGTATACCAAAATATTGTAAACACTGCCATAGCAATTCTTAACACAAAAAAATATTTGGAAGGAAAGGAAGGAAAAGAAAAAAATCTTTAAAAATGTTTAGAGTCTAGAGACACTGGTATTTTATGTAGGACCACTTTGTAATTGTGATTGTATTTACTGTCTGTGTCTACAACAGTTCATCTTTTTTAATTCATCCATCCATCCATTTTCTGATCATTCTTCTCCCTAACGGGGTCTAGAGGTGCTGGTGTATCTCCAACTGCGTTCCAGGCGAGAGGCGGGGTCACCCTGGACAGGTCTCCAGTCTGTCGCAGGACAACACAGAGACAAACAGGACAAACCACCATGCACACACACACTCACACCTAGGGAGAATTTAGAGAGACCAATTAACCTGACAGTCATGTTTTTGGACTGAGGGAGGAAGCTGGAGAACCCGGAGAGAACCCACCATGCACAGGGAGAACATGCAGACTTTTTGCAGAAAGACCCCGGGCCGGGAATCAAACCCAGGACCTTCTTGCTGCAAGGCAACAGAGCTACCAACTGTGCCACTGTCCAGCCCAAGCTTTTTAAATGTCCAACAGGAGACCTGACAATTGTCCACTGACAATTGACAATGTTTCATCAGTTCTCTGGTGAAAAAAATGAGGTCATCAGACAGTCCAGTGCCTGGAGGTGACGGAGGTCATCTTTGTCTTCTTGATTCTCTGAATCCTCTCCATCACTTTCATCAGCTGGTTTTATAGGAGAGACATAATCTGGTCCATGGGAGGACAGGTTTGAGGAGTTGAGGTCAAAGGTCAGATGCACTGCAGTGAGGCTCAGACAGAGGGGAAAAGAAGCAAACAGAAATTGATTAGGGCTTGTCTTGTTGTTTTCATTGTTTTTCTATACATATGTATGTATGATTCTTATGTTAACCTTTTACATGATCATATAGCTTTAGTCATTTATTATCCATCCAGTATTATAACTCTCGTTAGTGGAACCGTTTGCCAGAGATAGAATAACATTTATTAATTGATTGATCCTTTATATGATATAAAATCATTTATTTAATTTATTTATTCAAATACACACAAAAGAAAATGTGTGGTGGATATTTACAGGCCTACATATCTTTAAAGATTTATGTTCAGCATTATTATTCTGTACTCGTTTTCCTCTGCTTCTAATTCACTTTGCAGGAAAAATTCCACCATTTTATTCACACCACGCACACTCCTTTTTTTATTTTTTTATTATCACATAGTCAAATAATTCACCCTGAGGAGGAGATTGCATTCTGGACCCACATAGACCCATTCTGCTTGAATTGGGTGTGATCTCCTTTTTAGACTGAAAACGTCTTTGCAGAATCCAACTAATTAGCTTTGTGGTGCCTGTACCCCTCATAAAGACCTTTATTTCTGATAAAGGTCTACCGGATTCTCTAAAGGTTTAGTTCCCTTAACTTAGAAAACCAAAACACAAGAAAATACCTGCCTTATTCACTGATAAGTACTTTTTACTAAGACAACAACCTATAAATCCGTGGTTCCCTTTATCTCTCGGTCTGGGCTCTAACCCAAACAATTTAAAAAAAAAATATTTTTATTATTTTTATTTTTATATTTTTTATATTCTTCTTTCTGGGAGTTTAACTCAGAATAACACCAATCTCTATTCCCCAGGGTGAAAGAATTATCGGACCTTACTATTTTATTATTTATCAAATGAATTTATTGGTTATCAAATGAAACCACTATTATCAGCTGAGTTTCCCAGCTGATAATAGTGGTTTTGAGTTTGTTGATCCCAGCGCTCAACAAAGCCTCAAACCTCATCAGCGAGGTTTGAGGCTGGAGTCTAGTCCAGGTTGGTACCAAAAAGCTGTTCATTGACGTCCTCAGATGTCCAGTCGAGGCATCTGGGTCACAGCACCAAATTGTCAAGAAAAAAATACTTTCAAGCACTATTAAAAACCAGTGTTCAGGTAGAATCACTCAATCAGGTTTATTCATGAATTGTCCACAACTCAGAGAGCTCATGAGACAATTGATAATCAAGCCAGTCTGGATGCAAAGCTCTGCCAGGCTGAGACAACATGTAAGATTTATACAATGATAAGGAATGAAAAACAAGGGGTGAGTCTGATTCTGATGTAGCTGTGGAAAACAAACTTCCAAACTTGTACATGTAACCCAAATAGTTCTTTTGGTGAGAGTTCATAAACATTTCATGTGACATGACTTGCAGATGTGACCCAATTCTAATCTGTTCCATCACAAATGCTAAGATAAGCATAATTCTTAATCTTCCACTTCAGCCCTGTCACTCAAATAATGTCCAATATCCAATATGTTTAACATTAATGTTAAATATGTTAAATGTTAGCTGATTTGGACGCGTAGCGACAAATTCACTCAGCTGTCTTCGTCTAACACCTTATACCAGAGATAAACAGAATACCGGAACGTAAGCAGAGTTAGATCCCAAAGTTTTCCAGCAAGAAACAATTTATGTCACCAAAAGCTTTTTAACAAACAATGCAACTATTTGGAATTGCTTGTATCATAAGATTAAAAGTGCTCAGACTTGATCTCTGTCTCCTGTTTAGTGGCTAACATGACCTCACACCTGAGTAGTGTGTCTGAGACAAAACGTAGCAACTTCCACACTTCTTCACTAATTCTGGGGCTCCACCTCAACATGGGGTTTCATCTTGGCAGGGGAAATGTATACAGAAACATTTTTCCTCAGCGTGTGCATAAACAGGATGCTGTGCCTGGAAAATCCTTTCCCACACTCAAGTTGATTCAAAAAACAAACAAAAAAACAAAAACAAAATCAATACACATCCTGGCACCAAACACTATGAGTGTCCAGATTAGCAATTTATTTATCATAGTTCTAAGTAATAAGGAATGATAAAGTATGCAAGATATTTGTTGAAATGAGAAATTTATTTCAAAAAACATTTATGTCGTAGTCTGGAGTCAGGCCTAAATGCAAAATTGAAACTACTGTGTTAACATTCTGCTAATAAAGCCAGATTTATAATTGTGGGACAGATCCCACAATGAAGAAATAAGTCAAACTTATTGCATGAGAAGCACTCATCCCATATTTCAGCCATCTTTAGCAAGGAGGACCCAAATATTGGAGGTCACTGTGAAAGTTTTTCTGGCTCCAGCAAGTAAAACCTGGAACTGAGTCTAAACCTGAACACACACCATACCAGCCACGTTACTGTGTGTCTGTGCTCACTTTAGCTTTATAGGATGTGATCAGCTTGTGATCACACTCATGAAAAAATCATGAAATGAACCGGCATTTTCTATGAAATATTACCCCCAGAAAAAATTGCTTGGGATTTTATATCGCTTACGTTAAATCTTATCTCTCACAGGTCTTTTTTAATAACATACTTGACATTTATGTTTTCCAGCAAGAAACGATTTATGTCACCAAAAGCTTTTTAACAAATCAATGCAACTATTTGTAATTGCTTGTTTCATAAGATTAAAAGTCCTGAGACTTGATCTCTGTCTCCTGTTTAGTGGCTAACATGACCTCACACCTCTGTCATAAAAAAGATAAAAATAAAAATAAAAAATCTGAGTCCAACATGTCAGCAAAGGAGCCCAGCTTCGTATTTCTATCATTTCTGGGACTTTAATGCAGTTACAATTTACAGCTTATCAAGGGCAGTTACCTCTGATCAGGAAAGATTATTAAACTGTTTTTTTCTTTAATTATAATCTTATAATTTATTATAATTTATTAATTTATTTATAAATTAACAAGCAACAAACTCAAATGTACACAGAAGAGAAACAATCTTGAACAAGGCAGAATTGAGTGGACTTTAGGATCAGAACTTCTACTGAAGTAATTTGCAATATTATTATTAAAGTACTTACATTTACCACGTTGTACGACATCCACTTAGTCTTAAGATTGAAGTAAAAATCTAATTCTTCTGGGTTCAAGTTCAAAGACTGAGAACCATTTGAGATGCTAATTAGCTGCTGCCAGTACAAGTTAAACAATTGCTTTTTAAAGTTTGTTTTTTTTTTCAGTTGAGTTTCAGAAGATGGTCATGTTGGACTTCAGAGTGAGAAACCTACAACCTTCTCATTGTCAGACTTATGGAATCTTTCCGTAAATTTTTAACTTCAAACCTGGGAGATTTTAATTTGCAAAATTTTTAAACAGCATTGAACAACAATCTACTAAAATAACTAGCATAACTAATGCTTCTCTTTCTCCTTTTCTATGATTTGTTGTTTTTTAGCTGCATTCCAACACATGAATATGTAATATTATAAAAAAGATCAGTATGTTTTGTAATTTAACACAACATTCATAGATGGCGTCACAGCTTTCCCTAAGATTATGGCCCCTTCCTTAAAATGTGACAAGATAGCCAGATCAAGAAAACATCGTTTCACCATTGAACGTTGTTATTTCAAGTAAACATTTTACTAATAAGGGTGATAGTGCACTGTTAATAGTGATGACATTGAAAGAAATTTAGTTGCTTCAACTAAATTTGTTTAGCTGAAACACATTGCACTTCAGGTTAGGCAACAGCTAATAATGAAATATTTAAATGTGAAGGCAATGTAAAAATTCTTATTAATTATAAGACTTAAAAATGAACTAAAGCAAACCAGGAGGCCCAATTTGAACAACCAGCATTTTATTGCATGTTTAGAATGCTCACATCAGTCATTGCCACTGACTACAACAAAGTGGCTTATGCCCAACAGACAAGGATTGATGAGTTTACAGACCCATGGAAGTGATGAATAATCATATTTCTGTTTTTTAAAAAACAACATATGAGAGGGGAAAAGAAAAAAAGCAAAACTACACAAAATGTTTAGAAAAAAGGAACCAAGAATAGAAACTGAACACCTTCTGCAAGGATGAGAACAGCACAACTGTTCCTGGGTTGAGGCTCACAGCTCCACCTCTCCTTCCCTTTCTTAAAAGAAACAAAAGTGTGACGTGAGAACTGGAGAAATGTGGGGGGACGGAATGATGGCAGGTTGGATGTTGGTGATGGATGAAGTGATGACATTTTTAGTAAGCGTGTGTGTGAGATAGAGATATTTAGAGGATGGACTGTTAGCAGGGTGTTTGTAAATCCTGTGACATGCCTGCTGTGCTTGGATTTTGACTCTGGCAATGACCAGATTAGGGGAATCGAATGAAAAAAAATGTGTTTAATCAACACAATATGGGCGAGGACACATATTTGATGTGTGGGGGCTGAAAAAGAAACATGAAAAAAATAAAAGCTGCTAATATATTTTACACCTTGGCACTGCATATTTTTCTTTCTATTTTTCTAATAATTTCATAGAAAATATCATCAGATTGCACCCTTAATGGTAATGACCTTCCCCACAAAATCTCTGTGACCCTGGGTTTAGTCATGCGATGCACTTCCGCCTCGGAGCGGAAACACGCCATCTCTAACATACGGCCCACAGAAGGCAGTGGTTGGACCGTCGAAAGGAAGTATAAAAAAAACAGCTCAACACAAACAGGGAAGGAAAACTGTACAAAATGCTCAGGTAAGTGACAAAGAAAAAAAAATCTGTTTTTCTATAATATACAAATTGAAAATCCAAAATCTGGCCCATTCCCACCCACCCTTTCATCTTGATGTAAAGCAAGGATTACTACATAAAACACATTTTCAGCAATCTCCTATTCTGACACATACAGCAGTTTATTTTTCTATTTCGTACTTGATACAAAAGCAGATGAACGGATGATACTTCAAAGAGAGAAAAGCAAAACTTGAATTTTGAGTTCCCTTAAAACAGACCCGTCAGCCCAGAGGAGGAAAATTCACTGGACAGGGGAGACACCGCCACACGCAGCTGGGTGATGTACTTCACATTAAATCATGGTTTTAAAATGTTCAAAGAAAAAGAATCTGTCCTTTTTAGTTCGTTTCTCTACACATGCAAGCCACACAGCTAAGCGAGGCTGAGTAAAATGTTTATTTTTCTCGCCGAACCTAATCGCTCCCTGTAGGTTTGAGCCGAGGTATGCATCCTAACTGTTTTCTCATGCTGTTATCTTTAGTAATGTCGAGCTACACATGCTGAGAGTGATCTAATCTACCAGTGCTTTCCTTTTACCCCTCCCCCTTCATTACGAATACCAAACAAACTTGGAGTCCGAAGGCTGAGGTTCTGTGGATCAGCTCGGCCCATTCTCACGATCCCAGCCCTGCTGGAAGCGACCCGGTCGTCCCACAGCTGCCTGGATATTAAATATGCCTTCTGGAAAACCACAGATCAACTTTCTTTAGTTTTTTTAGTTGATGAGGACTAAAAGCAATAACTGCCATAAAAGTACCTTGTACCCAGCTTATTAGTTGACAGGAGTGTTTTTTTTTTTTAATATAAAAAGCAATACGTTGACAAAAACTAAAAACAATCATAAAGTCTTGACCAAAAAAATCCCCCCCAAAAAAACAAAACAAAAAAAAGGTGAGAGTGATATACAATCATTTTAAAGGATACAAACATAGGGGGAAAAACAGAGAATTATGGTGTGGTCCAGCTGAAGCAGATGAATTTGTTCACATTGTTTTTCCATGGACCAGAATACTTCTTGTTCCCACATAATTGGCTCCAAAGATTAAAGATTTCTCTGTTTTGGTCATCATGTAGTCAAGCCTGCCAGCTCCTTCCATTCACTCTTGGACTGCAAAGCATCACTCTCATGTTTGAATTAATCTCCTTTGGTTTAAACTAATCAGAATAAAAAAGAGTGAAAACACCACTTTGAGAAGCGTTCCTCAGGCTGCAGAATGCATGGGAAATATTTGGCCTTATTTGCTATTGCATTGAACAAGGCATGGGCTGCTGTGAGATTCTTATGCTTTAGTGGTGTGAAGCTACCACTGCCTCCTGGACCTTAAAAAATGCCTAATGTCATACATTTTTTGCCTGTCATTTAAAATGGAAACGTAAAATATTTACATCAAATAATTCCAAATAGCTGAATTTGTCTTTTGCGTGACATCACCTTTGTTCTGTATTTCATTAAAAGAACTTTACACCATTTGAATGTTACGACGGAAACATGATTTGCTTTTAAAAACCTCAGTATATGTTGAAACCAGCAACCTGCCCATGCCTACATGGAACACACATTTACTTTGAAGTTTATCTTTGGTAGTCACATGACCAGATATCAAAACACACTGACACAAAAAAAGCCAGAGGTGACCCAAAATGAACCTAAAACTAAGAATAAATAACAGATTTAAAGTGGTTCATTGCAATCTTGAAATTAACAATCTCCTCTGTGTCTAATTGACACGGTTGGAATGAATTTTTGCTGCGTCACAAAACCACTAATTCTCATTTCTGGGGGCTGAACAGAGTCATCAGTGTACACTTTATATTTGCTGTCAGATGCTGGAATGTGAAACGTTTGCCGATGCTGGGATGGTTACTCTCAGCGTTCCGTCTGAGGTTGCGTATTATTAACGCTCAAAACTAGTCATGCATATGGGAAACAAACGCCGCGTGAAACACCTGCACAGGGGGAAGCAGACGCGTTTGATTAACAACAACGGCCGTATTCAGGAATCATAATTAGTTGGTCTAAATCATTATCCTTTCCAGTGCACAACTGACATTTTCATCTTTTCCATTTGGCTTAAAAATAAGAGAAAAAGAAGAAAAGCCACCTTGTAAGTGATCAAAAATTGTGTTGTAGCTCAGCACAACATGCCATCAGAGGCGGTCTTAAAGAATAATTTCATAAGGATAAATCATGATTTCTCTGTCATCCATTCGCATCTTAAATTAAATTTCATTGTCGCATGGAGAGAGCCTTCATTACAAGTAGTGCATTGCTGATGGACTTCACGAGCAGGAGGGACAGAGATGCAGAGGAGGGAAGCTTTTCTTCTTCTGTTCTGTTCTTTTTTTATGTTGTTCACAAAGAAACTGGAATAAATGACAGAACAATACTACTTGGTTTCTACCATTCTGCTGTGTGTAATTTCTTTTTTGAAAGAACAGCATGAGAGGAAATTAAAAACATTCATCATCAAGAGGCAACCGAACGGAATCTCCACAGCACGGGCATGAGGTCTGATCAGTTTCAAAAAATGATCACAAATAAAGATGTAATATGTGAAACAGCATTGAATAAACTGACATTTTACAACCCTTCCTCTTAAAACCAACAAAAGACCCTCCCACCCGCCAAAGTAAGAAAAAGGTCCCTCCCATCTTTGATGGAATTAAACATGTTGAAGGCAGTGACAATGAACTCATTCGTTCTCCTTCACACACGCACACACACACACACACACACACACACACACACACACACACACACACACACACACACACACACACACACACACACACACACACACACACACACACACGTCTTTATCTCTCTTTCTTCAGTTTATGGTTGTGTGTGTCTGAGAGGGTGGCAGAGTGTGGTGGTAGGAGGAGGGGAGTATAGAGTCCCTCTCACAGTCCGCTGAGTGCAGTCCGTTATGGCTGCACAGCGAGAGTTTCACTTCAATCACTTTCACCCTCTCCCCGGTACCACGCCGATCCATCCAACGTTTGTCTTCACTTTTTAAGAGGTAACTGAAATCAAAAGGTAGAAGGGAATCTGAGCTCAAAAGACCCCCTCCTTCACTTTTCCCACTTTTTTTGTAATGGCACTAAAACGTCAGTCTGCTCGGAGAGACACTTGAGAGACTGAAGTCCAGCGTTTCCGTCTTCCAGAAGGTCTGCACCCTGGCCTTATATGTCGTTATGGCCCAGGTCATCATCATAATCTCTGTGGTGGTTGAAGTCCGGACTGTCATTGGCGGTTGTGACCAGGGAGAGGGGTCCGTCGTGGTCTTCAGGGTCCAGTGGTTCCTCCTTAACGCTGATGTGATGCCTGCGGGAGAGGCAGGAGGAGAGCAGTGAAAGTGGTCAGTGTCTGACACACAGTCTATGACGTCTAGAATTAAGTCTAGAGTTTGCTAGAAACATTTCCCAGGTAAGTAAGAAACACTTTTGTGTTGTAAAACGACAACAATTTATTCATTTTAACATTGATTTCTTGTTGAAATAACAACTTATCTATGATTTACCATGTCACATTTTACCCATCAGGGCCATTTGATTTCATTTGGGAACACCAGAAAACTTGAAAATGCAGATTGAACTAGACTTACATTTCTTTTCCACAGATGATTAGTTATGCTATTTTGTCTACTTCCGTTGTAAAAATGGAAACAAAACTGACCAGTACTGTGCATCCTTGTGTTTAGGATGGAGCGGTTTACTGTCACGTTGTTCACTGCTTTTAACTGCTTTTGAGAAATACAAGTGCATCACATTTGTCGCTGCATTAGTAGGACACCTCATAGGGAGGCTGAGTGAGAAATATTACATGGAATACGCCGGACCAGAAAATAGCATAAAGAACCACACTAATGCAATAGAAACATAATGGCCACTTTTGTATTTTCATGTAGCCATGTCCACAAACTAAAAAATCTGCATGCAGTCTAGTTTTTACAAGCCTTATTTCACCTTTCATGAAAGAGATAGGTTCTTCGTGTCACAGAAAAGCAAAATACTTTGTGAAGATGCTGACTGCAGCATATTTGCTAGAGATTCTCAATGTTAGGCTGAAAGCAAATAAAACTCAGCAAATAAAAATAAAAAAGCCCAGGAAAAAATTACTGAATGCAGTAATTCTATTAGCATTTAGCAAATAGAAATAATTCTGGTAATTATTTCTTTTCTCATAAAACAGGAAAAGGTTTAGCCTGATTTAATTTTAAAAAAGTGCTTTGTCTTTTTATAGACTATGTAAATATATGATTTCAAATATATTTTAGCCCAGAGCATAAAAATAGGAATGCCTTCATTGTCATTGTGCAAAAGCACAACAGAATTTCATTTCAATGCGGCCGACCAAAAAAGGATTAACAAACAGCATAAGACACGGAAAGACCTGAAGCCCGAAGCCAGAAAACCTGTGAAATGGCTAAGAGTTCCCTTTGAAAAGCCTGAACTGCTCAATGTGTTTTTTATGTGTAAAAAGTTGCTAAATGTTGCGAGAAAGTAACTCGAAGTGACTTCACACATCTGTGGTTGGAGGCAGAAAGAACAGATTTTTGTGAAGTAGATCTCCCAAAATTACACTTAGAAAAATCCCCTGTTTTAAACTCTTCTAAAAGCCAATTCCAGTATTGTGCTTAAAGAATAATAGTTTGAAATTAAAAGCCCAGAATATTCTAAAGATAGAAATTGAAGTCCGGACAAGTGAAAGCGGGAGTATTTATAATGCTGACACCGGGCCTAAGTGATACCTGTGTTGATTCTCTATGTAGACCAAGAGGCACAAATGTGTGGCTTTTGTGGAAAAGAGGTGGGAGGACACTGGGGAGGAGGTTTGCTGGAACTGATGATAATTTCAAGCTTTCTTTTGAGGTATTCCAATCCCCGGCAAAAGAAGCTGCAGGCTTTTTGTTTTCCACTTCCATGGCAAGCGACAACAGAGTATTCACTTACGACTTGATAAATGAGGAGGATTAACAACATGATGCGAGCAGAGTGGGTGGCGAATGGACTCTGTCGTTGTCAGCCTCCTGGTGGTGGAGGATCAGCGGCGCACTGTGTTGGCCATACCCCTTCCACCTCCTCCTTACTGTTCGTTAACATGCACAACCTGCAAGGCGGGTCTCAAGAGGACAACCCCGAGCCAGGCTTCTATCATTAATCAACTTCAAGCAAAAACACAGCAACCAGACACTAGCGTACATGCTTTAAACTCTCGAATTAATGCATATTTTTAACAGCGTGTCAACAAAGGCAGGATGATTGGGAAAGAAAAGACGCAAGAGCACGGCGCACAACATGGTGATAAGAAACAGAGCCTTTATGAGAACAACGCTGTCACTTGTAAAAAAGACAAAAAGCACGAACCGCCTCTCTCTACCTTATTGTTTTCGTTGCCTTGGAAAAAGAGACACTGAAGAGATGAGATCTGCCAAATTTCTCATTACAGAAACAGAGCAGGAATAAAGTGCATGAGGAAGAGGAGGTCTGGTGGTGGCAGAGAGCAGAGAGAGAAAGAAACAAAAATACGAGCAGCTGCAGGGGACTGGCTTGTGGTCTACGGTGCCAAGCTGCTAACAGAGGAGGCTGAGCGGTGTCAGGATGAGGTGCCGGGCTCATTTACTACAGCAACAAGGGACAACTGGCACCTTGCTCTTCACAAAAGCACACATTTGATTCTCATTTAAAAAAAAAATTGTTTTCAAACCTGGATGGCTTGAGTTGATTTGCGACTATTGTGATGGAGGCTCTCATATGCAAATGAGCTGCCATATTTTGGTGTTAAATTATGAAAAGGAGGGCAAAAAGTAAAGTCAGCTTTTCTATCATTTTTACATCAAAGTAACTCCACAAGTGCCGTAGCCTCGGGTCTGACTATTAGCTGCGGGGCAGACATGAAATTGTTATTATTATTCTATTGAACTACGTGCTGAGTCTACACTTTACTCATAATTAGCTTTCTCTGGATAGTTGTTTCTTTTTTAAAGTCAGTTGTTTAGAAGTGTGGGACCCTCAACACTTTGAAAGGGGCCCCACAGGTTCACAACAAAAACACATGGTGCAGATTAGTCTTTCAAAAACATGAATCAAAATATTTTAACCCTTTATTGGATCTTGTTTACAGCATATTGTGTCTTATAAAATTATTTGTAAACCTTAACCTTTTCAATACTTTGCCACTCAATTGAAAACTTTCATGCTGGAAACTAACAAAGTGCATTCCCCAGAACCGGAACCAAACATTTCCATGCTCCACAAATCTGGAACAAACGTCAAGAAATTCACTCGCAACTTTCCAAGTTTCAAACTTGTCCTGTCCTACCATCATGTCTCAGCAGCCTTTGTGTCTCTGCTAGAGACAAACCCTTCAACAGCATGTTGCTGCCACCATTTCAAATGTTGGTCAATGTTTGGTTTCACTGGCCCAAATTACCGTTATCAAGTCGAGTCAAGTTTATTTTGTATTATTGAATTCTTCTATGGGATCAATACAATAGTTTTGAATTGAATTGCGTAGAACATTTCAGCAACACTGCAAAAACATTGAAACTAAATAGGTGGGGTTCTAAGGAACTCAATGTTTTCTAGAAGTTTGTTCCAAATTGTTGAAGTTGCTTCCCCATTTTTGTTTTCTCATTACAGAAATCCTATTGTTGCACAGCAGATGAGAACCAACTTTATACATTATTTATAAAAACACAAATAATTTTCCTTCTACATTAATTTCTTTTCAATCCATAGCAGAAAGTTAATTTCTTCATAGAGAAAGGGTGTGAGCTTGTAAAGGCAGTATCAGCCTAAACATAGCATAGCAGCAGAGGGGCAGATGCAGAGCAGGCTGCCTCCAGGCCAGCACACCCATCCTGTCTCTGCCTTTCCTGTTCCACAGCTATGCTCAGAGCTGTGTTCACAGTGATTAAGGATGGCACTTTCCCCCATTTGGCCATGAGCTTATTACTTACTGCACCTTTCTCTATCTTTTTTTTGTTGTTGTTGTTTTCAGGCAGAATTTTTCTCCCTGAGTTCTTACACTTCATCCCTCAGTCTACCCCTGCTGCTCATCGGTGGTCCGCCCCTCCACCCCCACATCTGGAAACGATGCAGCAATGTTATTTTAGGCTTCAAGCAACTTAGCAGTAACTCCTATGCAACAAGCAAATGGGGGAGCTGTGGTTTCCAGGCCCACTGCAGCTTTTTTCTTGGAAGCTGTCTTTTATGTTTTTTTTTTCTTTCAGAGGTGTTTCTGGACGCAACGTAGCTCAGGTTTGTCTGTGCTGCGTCGGAAGCCAGGCTGCTTCGTCACTCTGCATTCTCAGATTTTGTACATTTTTGAACAAACTGGGTTGATGATGTGGTTGAGTCTCTGACAGTCAGCGGGATGCATAAAGCAAAGTTCATAATTTGTTGTTGAAATAACAGAGGGTGGGGGAAGGTGTCCTGTCTTGTCTTCCTGGCTGTTCTAGCTTTGAAAAGGTGGAGTTTCCTTTTTCTGCTGGGAGGCCTGACACAGTACTGGCCGTGACCCGACACACACCACTGATATGAATCCTCTCCCTTAAATTTATTGGCACTCTGACAATGTGCTTTCTGTCTGATCTATTGCCACAGATCAGGCGTATTTAGAGAACTCCACATGGACAATGACACTGTTTTCTGAAAACACATATGGCGCCTTCCAAAGATATTCACATGCGCTTGGACTACTTCACATTTTGCCATGTTGCATATACAAACTTTTACTATATTTTACTATAATTTTATGTGACATACAGAGAAAAAGTAGTGCAGGATTAAGAAGCACTACTGGATGATTACATTCTAGAAATTTACAAAACATGTTAAAAGGTTGACCCTAATACTAAATTATATAATTCATAGAAGGGATTATTAGAATAAAAGCCATTTTTGAAAATAGTTTTCAAAAAATATAATTAGTATAAAAAAGGCAGAGATTTTATTTTTAAGCCATTTTTAAGACATTAAACCTAGTATGAATACCAGTGTAAATAGGGCTAAATGCTAAACTTTTCAGTTTTTTTCCCATAATAAAATAAAAAAACAACACAATATCAGTTGTAACTAAATGTGAAAAACATTAAAGACTTTTTCAATGCAGCAAGATTCAATTTTTACTTTCGTCACACTTGGATCTGTTCTGCTAGTAAAAAAAGTGCGTGTCACTCACATAGCTGGCAGGGGCGAGCGTCCCGGGCTGCTGTCACTCCTGTTGCTGTTTTCATGGTCCATCGCTCCATTCATCTCCTCGCGGATGGCGTTGGCCAGGGAGTTGAGTGTGGGACTTCCAATGGAAGCAGTAGTGTATAGAGGTATGTTGTTTTCTGCCATTGAAGCCTGGAGATAAAAAAAAAAAAAAACAACAAAAGAAAAAAGGGTAAAATGTGAAATGGAAGAAATGTCAACGATTTCACAGCTGCTCTTCACTCTTGAAAACCTAAAACACAAAGCTTGTGTGGACAAGATAGAGGAAGACTTCTTTTGAAGTTTTGAAGCAACATAAGATGAAGTCACTTCTTATTTTTACCTGGAAGGCAGCAGAGAGAGTTGGACCATAGCCCAGGCTGGTCTGAATGTTCTTCACTAGGGCAGGACTTCTGTGAACAAAGAAAAATTAAGTTATGACCCGCAGACTCATGTCTCATCCAGCATAAAGGATCTTGTTTCATAAAGAGAAATCGATGCACTTTAAACTAAACACATTTACTGATGTAGTAATGTCAAGGCGATAGTTCTGAGATGTTCAATCACTTTACAACGCCAAACCAGTAGGAAGATGAGGGCTTGTGAAAGCACAATGGCTGATGAACTCAACACAAAAAGCATGATAGCGATATTGAGAAAGAGGGAAGAAAGCATGCAGGGTGGGAAGGCACCGGGGTGGGGGGTGCTTACTGTACAAGCAGCTCCTCAAAGTTCCCATCGGGGGCGCATTTCCGAGGGCAGCCGCGCTGAATGTGTCGGCCGCTTTTAAATTCCTTGCCGTCAATGGTCCAAAAGGACCCAAACTCATCCTCTACTCGCACAAAGCACTTATGCAGGGAAAGGTTGGTGCGAATGGCACCCTGGGAAAGCAAGCCAGCATGGAGTTGAAGGAAATTGGGTGAAGGCGGTGGTGGGAGCAGGGGAAAAAGGGCGAGCGATGCAGCCAGATGCAGATGCAGGGCAGCAGAGATGAAAGACAAACACAGACACAAGGAGGAAGGGAAAAGTGTGAGGATCACAATGAAAATGAGCCATTTTGAGTCATGAGGCATCACCAAAAGGGCTTCCGAAAGCATAAGTGGCAAGGATGAGGTGGGGGGGGAGCACGCCAAAGTAAGGAGGGACTTTGCACATTATGGCACACAGACAATAAAATGGAGCAGCAGCGGCAGACCCCCCCCCCCCCCGCCAATTCTGTCAGTCATTTGATGAGACAAGACACTAGTCAGGGTTCAAAGACGCCAAACATACCCGCTGATCTTTTGAGGCCGCCTCTTTTGGAACTCTATTTCGTCGACTGTCCACACAGCCCCTTTAACGTTTTCTACTCGCACAAAACACTTGTGAAGACTAAGATTATGCCGGACTGCATTCTGCGGTTGTTGTAAAGAAAAAAAAAAAGAACAACAGGGGTACAATAGTATATTAAAACATTTTGACAGAAAACTGATCAAACATATATCAGAAAAATAAAGATACAAAACAAAAGCTTGTAGAGGGTGGTCCTTAAAGGTCTTATGAGGAGTGAGAAATTGCCTGGTTGCTCAAACCAGCTAATTTCAAACCAGGTTTGCTCAAATCAGCAAAGCAGCTGATCGACCGAAGTCCTATATGTGAGTCATCCATAAACACGCACTGCCAGGCTTTCCTGAACTTACTTCACCAAAGAAAATAAAAATTGATAGAATATTAGAATAGCAGAAGTTGGCAAGAGACTAAAGTCTCTCCCTACTTCATCCTATGTATAGAGATCAGCTGTCATTGATGAAAATTCCAATATATTGTCTATAGGAAGGCATCACAGGCCCAGGTTGAACTAATTTGCACAGAGCTCTATGTGTTTTGTTGTGTTATTGGTAATAAATTCAGAGGAATAAATTACAGGCCTGGCAGGCTGCCATGCTTTACTATATGACCATTTATGGTAATATAATTTTGGAATGAACAAAAGTGCAAATAATTCATATTTATTTGAATCTTTTTATGTGTTATTTTTAACCCTAAACCTCGACAGCATTTCACTGGCGATGCTTTCCAGTAATGTCTTCAGTAATATTTTTATATTTCCTGCTTACTTAACATCTTTTAATACAAAAACACAATTGAGCACCTCAGCGATTGACTTAGCAAATTTTCTGGGGGAAATCCTGAAGTTTGTTACTTTATGCTCTGACAACAACATTGATATTTCGCTTCAACTAATCCAATTCCATCATCTGACTTTTGTATCTGGAGGAATGCTTTTCAGACATTGTGAAGAATTACGTACATTTGTAAAATTCTTCACAAAATGCCTACAAATATTGTGAAATGGCTAAAAACTGGTCTGGCCCAGCTAGTCTTTGCTGTTGTATGAAAGGTGTGGCTGAATAACGAATGTCCCACAACCACATAACTGCGCAGCAACCGTTTTGTTCAGGGTGAAGTACAGGAGAGCTCTAAGGAAGCACTTTTGTGATTTGAAACAGGTTTCAGAGGCGCGACGTCGCTTATTCAAATTGTCTGGAATACACAAGGAGACTGCTTGCTTAGTAATGCTGGTCAAACATACTGTGCAAATCACTATCATAAGATGCTCAGCGAGTTAACATTTGTTTTGAAATAATAGAAAAAAAAAAGATTTTTATAGGGAACAGCTCTCTTTCACTTGCACAGGGTGATGTCACCCTCATTTAAAAAAATCAAAATAAAACAGTTCATGGCCAGCTGGATGGCTATTAAATATGTTCTGGATGATGTTCTTATATCTTGTCATCTTGTAGAGAACTTGGCAGGTCAAATTCTCCAAAATCTGTTGCTTATTTCACAGCATAACAGGGAATAGGCAGGGACAGGTACAACACAAAACATTCTTACTGACCACAAGATGTTGGGGTCATTTTGGCTTCCTTATTGTAGTGCAAGGAAGAGCAATCACAACTTAAAGGTACAGCAAAATAAATAATAAAAGGAGATGTTCATAAATCATCCTTTTGTTATTCCAGAAGCAGGAGAGTGGGGGAAGAATCCAGTGTTTATAACGCCAGCACTCCCCTATGGAAGAGCTGTCAGCAACTGTGAGAGCTGATGGAGGACATGGGTGGAGCAGGGTGGTCTGTGTGTATCAGAATGCATGCATGTTTGAGGTGTGGTTCAAGCTGCTTGTGATTGATCAGTCTTGGCTCAGGTGGTTGTGGGGGATATTTCAATGTTTCATCAGTGCTTTTCTACTCAGTACGGTGAGTGTTTGGGGCCAACGAGGAGTGCAAGGGGCTCAGCCAGGGCTTGTTGGCAGTGAAGTGCAATGTTTGGCCAATGCCACCCACTGACAGTACATCCGGGAACACATTACCAGACTACTGTTTTTTTTTCTTCCCCTTTTTTCCCTACATGCAGGTTGTTTCTCTATTTGTACAGAGGGTGGTTCCCCTGGACAGAATAGGTGGTACACTGTTTGCATTCAAGTAAACTCTTTTTCTTTACCCTTCATTGGTTCACATTCAAAAAAAGATTAAAGACATAAATGCTTTACCTTCCATGTTGCTGCGTTGCGCCTAAAATATGCAAACATTCGCGTGAACCAGTTGTAGATTTCGTTTAGTGTTAGCTGCTTTTCCGGAGATTCAAGGATTGCCTGGATGAGGAGCAAGCAAAAGAAACAAACATTTAATGCTTTATGCCAGCTTTGCCAAAAAAAAAACCCCTAAAAAATCATTAAGAACTTTGAGAAAAGTTGAGCAATGCATGTACGAGTTGCCCCTTAGAGGATTGATTGGGAGTGTAAGAAACTTTTAATTTAAAATTTTTCTTTTGTGGGTGCAAATGAACGGTTGAGCAAAAACCATTTCTTTTTTTTCTAACATTATCTTTATTGGTTCTTCAACAATATTTTCAATAACATACAGGACATAAGTGTGCTCTCATATCAAAGAAAAAGTCCAGGGTAGTTAAATTATTGTCCAACATTTAACTTGTCTTTCCTTGTAAGCCAGGCTGTTATGGAATATTTTAGAGCAGCACTTATTGCATACGGAATATATGAGAAAAAAACAGAAGACAAAAAACCCCACAAAAAACAAAACAACAATGCCCCCAACCCCAAATCCTCCTGAGAAGAAACAACAATTACAATAATAATGGTTTCTCTAATTATTTCCGTATTCAGAAAATACAAACTCAAATGTATAATTCAAAGTAAAGTAATCAAGTATACAAATGAAGAATATTATCTTAGGACACTGCAACTATAACTCACCTCTGACACCCCTCATATCCATGTTTTCTATATATTCCATTAAAGGACACCAAATATTTTAAATAGAGAAAGTTTCCCTTTTAAAATGAACCTGGTGAGGTTGTGGATATTTCATTAATCCAGTAAATACATTTTGGTTTGCTGGTACTCTTCCATGAGAATGCTATGACTCTCATGACTCCATGAGAGTCATCATGAGAGTCATGCAGTCATGACTCATGAGAGTAGTAAACATAAAACCATGGCAGTAATAATCTTTCTGAACATATGGTGTCTGTCAGGATATAAACCTAAAATGAACAATTTGGGTACAAAAACTAGTTTTATATCTAATATAGTCTCTAGAGCTTGTTTAATCTCCCTCCAGAATTGTTGTACCTTCTTGCATTTCCAGATGCAATTTCAGAATGTTCCCTTCTCTTCTCCACATCTAAACACAGGTCTGGGATGGCATCATTGTACTTATTAAGCTTTTCTGGCGTCACATATCTTCTCATTAGCCAATTATATTGCAGTACTGTGAGGCGTGTATTGGTAGTTCATGTTTGTGTTTCAGCACACACCTTCTCCCAGTCCTCTGGTGGCAAGTTCTCCTGTAAATCCTCCCTCCAGGCATCGAGTTTCCATAAAGAAGACTCAGAGGATCCCTCCACTAACATGTTTGGAGATAATTCCTTTTCTAAAGCAATCATTCTTCATTGCGATTTCCAAGTTGGCCAGCAGAGGGAGGATTCACATTGATTTTGTGATGATCTAATACAATTTCTCACCTGTAGATATGTAAAATAATGCTTACTTGGAATATAATACCAGGCTTTCAACTCTTCAAATGTCAACAAAACTCCATCCTCTGATTCTATAAGATCTCCTATTGTCTTTAAACATTTTTCAGCCCATTTCCTAAAACCAGGATCTGCCCTCCCTGGAGGGAAAGATTGGTTATCCCTGAAGCGTGATAGGGACGAGGAGTCATCTAAATACTTCTTAACCTGATACCAAACCAAGATCATATTTCGGACTATAAGGTTTTTTTGTCTTTTTTTTTTAGCATTCTGATTTTTGCAGATTTTGCTGAGCACCTCTCCCTCTACTTGGGAACGCTTTACAATATTCATCCAAGGCAAGAGACATTTATCTGCAAAATAGTACATCATAGTCCTCAATTGAGCTGCCCAATAGTACCAAAGTGGAGTGGGCCAGCTGAGGCCTCCTCTAGCATAAGGTAGGTACAAGAGTGTAAAGTGAAGCCTTGGTTGTCTATTATTCCACAGAAAGCGTATGAAAATGTTTTGATAGGGACGAAAATAAATTGGCAGGAGGCGGCAATGGGACATTCTGAAACAAATACAGAAGTTTGGGCATTATATTGGATTTAAGGACATTGATCCGTGCTATAAGTTACAAGCGTAGACAGTTCCATCAGTCCACAGAGGACTGGTGGAATTGAGTCTATCATGGGGTTATAGTTAACTGCAACAATATAATCCCCACATATGTAAAACAATCTAGCTTTTTGATTTGGAAAGGATTCCCAACACTGTTTCTTTCTTCTGAATTAAGTGACATTAATGAAGACATATTTTTATTTACTTTATATCCTGATATTCTTCCAAATGTGTTTATTAGATCTAACAAGGCTGGAATAGAGTCTTTCAGTTTTTGCCCCCAAAAAAAGAATGACATCATCAGCAAATAAAGCAATTCTATGTTCCTGTTGGCCTATTGTCAAACCAGTTATGTTTTTATGAGACCGCACCGCAATGGCAAGCGGTTTTATTGCTAGGATAAATAATTAGGAGGACAGGGGGCACCCTTGTCTACAACCTCATTTAATTTTAAATGATTTAGATATTACTCTATTTGTTACTATTTCAGCATAAGGCTCATTGTATAAAAGTTTTACCCCACAGCCAAATCTTTCCAATATCTCAAATAAATAGGGCCATTCAACTCTATTAAAGGCCTTTTCGGCATCCAATGATAGCAAAGCAGTGTGTGTTTTTTTCTTCCATATTATAAATGATATCCAGCACTCATCTCACACAATGAAATCCCTGTCTCCCTACAATAAAACCATTTTGGTCACAGGTAATTATTTCAGGCAATATTTTCTCCAATCTTCGAGCCAGAATTTTACAAAGAATCTTCAAATCGACATTAAGAAGACTTATTGGTCTTAGATTTTCACATTTGGTGCAAGGTTTGCCAGGTTTGGGCAATAAAGTAATCAGGGCTCCTCTTAGTGAGGCAGGAAGAATTCCCTTTTCAAATGAGTCTAAATACATGTCAAAGAGGGGGGCTAGCAGTTTAGCTTTAGCTTTCTTATAAAATTCTGTCAGCAGCCCATCTGGGCCTGGGGCTTTACCTGTTTTCATGTGATCTATTGCAATAGATATTTCCTGTTTAGTTATAGCTGCACTGAGATCTGTACTCATTGATTCTGAGATATTGGTCATGTGGAGGGTTTCTAAGAAAACATTTTGCTCTTGTTCCTGATGCGTTATGTCTGAGCTATATAATTTTTCAAAAAAGACCTTAAAATTTTCAATGATTTCTAATGGATCAGTAATAATCTGTCCATCATTATTTTCGACTGAAGTAATATTTTTCTCATTTTGTAATTGTCGGAGTCGCCAAGCTAATAATTTCCCAGGCTTTTCCCGTTGATCAAGGAACGACTGCTTGAGATGCAAAAGTTTACGCCCCATCAACATTTGGGGCGTAAATATTTATTAGGTTTATTTTCTCTGCAATAAGTGTGCCCTGTAGAATAATGTACCTCCCAGCCCCGTCTTTAATAACCCTTGTCACATGGAATGGTATCGATTTATGAATCAAAATCATAACCCCTCTTGCTTGGGAAGTAAAGGGTGCTGAATAAATACTGCCTTGCCACCTCCTGCCATTTGGTTAATCTTTTTTCAGTTTCGGCATTTGAGGCAGAAAGTTCATTATACTATGTTCTAAGTATCAGAAGTTTTTTTATGGGTGTTTGGGCATAGCGTTTGATAGTAATCCCTCTTCTAGCAGCTCATTCTCTGCTGCCAACTCTTTTGTTTTTTGATAAGTTTGTTTTGCCTTATAACTCGTAAAACTAATTATTTGACCCCTTAAAGGCTTCCCACCTTGAGGAGGATGGTGTTTCATCTGTATTGGTTTCAAAATAGATATTAATTTGATTATCTACAAAAAATATAAATTTTGGGTCTATGATGATCTCTCTCCTTAGTCTTAAATCCTCATAGATAAGTGAATTTGGTGCATGGTCAAAAATTAAGATGCTACCATATTGACAGTCTCTTATTTTATGTCTCAAAGTGGCAGAAGTTAAAAAGTTTGTTTTGTCTTGTCAACAAGTTGAATAACACGAGTATTTTAAACTCTTGGGATCCATGTCCCTCTAAATACTCATCAAGTTAAGTACCTTCATTAAGTGTTGAATTGTTAGTCTACTTTTAGAATGGGAATTGTCAATACCTGAACTTCTGTCCAATTCTGGGTTCATTGTGCAGTTAAAATCTCCTGCTATAATATAGCTGCCAGACAAAGACGGAATTGTAAGGAAGAAATTTTGAAAAAACTTTGGGTCATCAACATTTGGGGTGTAAATATTTATTAGGTTTATTTTCTCTGCAATAAGTGTGCCCTGTAGAATAATGTACCTCCCAGCCCCGTCTTTAATAACCCTTGTCACATGGAATGGTATCGATTTATGAATCAAAATCATAACCCCTCTTGCTTGGGAAGTAAAGGGTGCTGAATAAATACTGCCTTGCCACCTCCTGCCAATCTTTACCTCCTGACCCGACATCAGTTGAGTTTCCTGGAATAACACAATATCAGAGTGCATAGATTTCACCCTAGTGATTATTTGGTTAATCTTTTTTCAGTTTCTGTAGTCCCCTGCACTTCCAAGAAGACACTTTAATTCTTAAACTACCAGACATACCAAATAGCACTTAAAGGGCTTCCTAGTATTTTCAAATTGTTTAAAGTCAAAGAAACCAAGAACATCTAGAGGTTAAAAATTACACCCATAATAACAATGAACACTGAACAGTATATCCCTTTTGAACCCTGTTGCCCACCCTCCTCCCCCTTTAATACTCTGGTAACCATCTAACAACTGAAGGCTGTTCCACACAACAGTGAGGATCAACCGACTGTGCCTGAATATTTTCCCTCTTACCCCACCCCACTACTTAAGAAACTATTACTGATTGCATCCAAAAAGTAAGGAACCGGTAAATAAAAGTAGACTATTGGCTATGAGCCTCTGGGATAGCAAACATAAAATATAATAAACAAATGTTTAATTCTTACTTATTTTACTTAACTTCAGGTACCGTAATTGTCCATCCCAGTTATGATGTTGCGATGCAATGGTGTCGTAATTGTCTCACCCAGGTCCGCTTTCTGCTTTCAGAGTCCTTACAAAGTTCTCTGCTTCAGCTGGTTGGTTAAAGATGCGAGAATGACCGTTGTGTGTCACCAGCAGTCGAGCGGGAGGAATCATGCAGTATCATATCCCCATGGCACGGAGTTGTTGTCTCATGTCATCAAACTCTTTCTGCTTTTTGGGAACATCGGCTGCGAGGTCATCAAAAAATCTCACCGGATGGTTCTTGAATAGGATCTGTCCCTTTGTCCTGGTGGCTATTATCACAGTTGCTTTTCCCCTGTAGTTTAAAAACTTCATAGTAATAGTCCTTGGTGCAGCAGTGTTTGATGTGCTTTTCTGGCCAAGTCGGTGTGCTCTCTCCAGGGTCAGAGGGTTGTGTAGCGGTGTTCCCCCACCTTTGTTGTTTGCAACTGCTTTTGGTTGTTTTGAAATAATTTGTTGTTTGTTCTGCTAAAGCAGTTTGATTGCTGTAATTTGTTTTCAGAAGCTAGAAGCTAGGTTTGGGAGGTTTGGTGCTCCCTTTGTGTGTTTTTTCTTTTCCCTTAGGGGTTGTTTTTGAGTTAATTTAGAGTGACTGTTTGAACATTTTGTAATTTAATTAGCACCTAACCAATCTTGAATTTGTTAACCCTTTTCTTTTGTTGTAATTGGGTTAGGCTTAGACTTAGACTTCCTTTATTGTCATTGTACAAAAAAAAACACAAGGTGAATCTTGACAACAAATTGTCGTTACTTGGCTACCAGTGTAGCAGAGCTAAAACCTTAAACTACCCAATAATAAAAAAATACAATACAAGTGCCATAGAATACACAGGTTCAGTGTTGTGAAAAAACTAAACTAAAGTGCATGTATTGACCATGTCCATGGGGGGTCATTTGGTTTGTGAGTGTGTGGAGGGGTGTTATGTGGCGTTAAGCAGTCTGATGGCCCGGGGGAAGAAACTGTTCAGTAGTCTGGTTGTTCTGCACAAGATGCTGCGGAACCTTCTTCCAGACGCCAGGGGGCAAAACAGTCCATGGTTGGGGTGGGTGGGGTCGAAGAGGATCTGGTGAGCGCGAGATAGGCAGCGCCTCTCTGCGATGTCCTTGATGCAGGGGAGCAGAGCCCCCGTGATTTCTCCCCTGTCCTCACCACCCTCTGTAGAGACTTCCAGTCAGAGGCCCTGCAGCTCCCAGACCAGATGGAGATGTAGCTGGTCAGTTGGCTCTCGATGGTCTCTCTGTAGAAGGTCTGAAGGATGGGGGGCGGGAGGGATGCTCTCTTCTTCCCACGCAGGAAGTGCATGCGCTGCTGGCCCTTCTTCACCAGTGAGGAGATGTGGGGAGACCAGCTGAGGTTGTCGTTGATGTGCACCCCCAGGAACTTGGTGCTGCTGACGACCTCCACTGCTGAGTCGTTGATGAGGAGTGGTGTGTGGGTGGGTCTGGATTTCCTGAAGTCTACGATGATCTCCTTGGTCTTGTTGACATTCAGGATCAGGTTGTTTCCTCTGCACCAGTCCACCAGATGCCGCACCTCCTCCCTATAGGCCGTCTCGTTGTTGTCCCAGATGAGGCCCACCACTGTGGTGTCGTCCGCGTACTTCAGGATGTGGTTGGATCTGAAGTGTGGACGGCAGTCGTGGGTCATCAGGGTGAACAGCAGGGGGCTCAGGACACAGCCCTGAGGGGTGCCGGTGTTCAGTGTGATGGAGGGTTAAGTTGTTAAGTTGTATTGTGTCTTGGTTCTGCGCAATCTTCTTTTTGTAATAAATCACCTTTTTTTTTTATATGTCTTATTTTCTCTGGACATTTTTATGTTGCCGCCCTGAACCCCTAGGGACGTAACACTGGAGGAGAAATCTGATTTCAAATTTGCAATTGCAGCCAAAATTGCTTCTGAACCAGCTTCAACCATCTTATTCTTCTCATTTGACTCGCAGGTTTCCTCCTCTATTGCGCGCATGTGGTGGTGTTAGCCTCGCTATTTTCACAGCTAGCTTCAGAGCTCACCTCAGAAGTGAAGTTAGATAACTTCGATTGAGTCGGTTTGCTGGCATTTTTACTGGTCTTCTTTTGTGAGAGAGGCATCACAGCTGCTTTAAACATTGTCCAATGTCACTTGTGACGAGTATTTTCCAGGATTTTACACAAACGTAGTGGAGCCGAAGCGAGCATGTCCTCTCAGCAAGCTGCCATTACCGGCACCCGCAAAAACCATTTCTTCGACAAATTACAGTACAACAATTATGGACGGTTCAGATTAATTCCTTGAGATCCCAGATTACTGTGGTTGAGCGATAATTGACTGGCATCTTAAAGCAGGTTGCATAAAATGCACCTGGTGGAAACTGCCCGGGCTAAAATCACAGTATGTCATCAGATTTCTCTGTTCTGGCTAAACTTTGCTCAAATGTGAGAAAAAAGGCTGGATTAAAGTTTTAGTCATTTAAGAAAGAAACAAGTGGGCTACTTACCTGTCTTATTAGTGAGGCATAGGTGAATGGTGGCCTAACATCTGCATTCATGTAAAACTCCTTGTTCTGACTGATATCTGTAGACAGGAAACAAGATCAAAACATTGTGAAATACACAATAGAACATGGTCATTTTATGTATATTATTGCCTCTGAACTTTTGATGTTTTGGTGCATTGCAATTCTAAATTTAAATGGATTTTATTTTTCAGTCCATGAAAAGAAAAAGTGACTAGTTATGAGGTGGAAAGAAACCAATAAATGGCTTTTAAAATCTTTATATGAGAAGTGAATTTTAATGCTTTGTACAGTTAGGGCCAGAAATATTTGGACAGTGACACAGGTTTTGTTATTTTAGCTGTTTACAAAAATATGTTCAGAAATACAATTTATATATAATATGGGCTGAAAGTGCACACTCCCAGCTGCAATATGAGAGTTTCCACATCCAAATCGGAGAAAGGGTTTAGGAATCATAGCTCTGTAATGCAGAGCCTCCTCTTTTTCAAGGGACCAAAAGTAATTGGACAATGGACTCCAAAGGCTGCAAGTAACTCAAAAGGCCTTTCCCTCATTAACCTGTAATCAAGTAAGTAGTTAAAAGGTCTGGGGTTGTTTCCATGTGTGTGGTTTTGCATTTGGAAGCTGTTGCTGTGACCAGACAACATGCGGTCAAAGGAGCTCTCAATTGAGGTGAAGCAGAACATCCTGAGGCTGAAAAAAAAGAAAAAATCCATCAGAGAGATAGCAGACATGCTTGGAGTAGCAAAATCAACAGTCTGGTACATTCTGAGGAAAAAGGAATTGACTGGTGAGCTTGGGAACTCAAAAAGGCCTGGGCGTCCACGGAAGACAACAGTGGTGGATGATCGCCGCATACTTTCTTTGGTGAAGAAGAACCAGTTCACAACATCAACTGAGGTCCAGAACACTCTCAGAGAAGTAGGTGTATCTGTCTCTAAGTCAACAGTAAAGAGAAGACTCCATGAAAGCAAATACAAAGGGTTCACATGTAGATGCAAACCATTCATCAATTCCAAAAATAGACAGGCCAGAGTTAAATTTGCCCAAAAACACCTCAAGAAGCCAGCCCAGTTCTGGAAAAGTATTCTATGGACAGATGAGACAAAGATCAACCTGTACCAGAATGATGGGAAGAAAAAAGTTTGGAGAAGAAAGGGAACGGCACATGATCCAAGGCACACCACATCCTCTGTAAAACATGGTGGAGGCAACGTGATGGCATGGGCATGCATGGCTTTCAATGGCACTGGGTCACTTGTGTTTATTGATGACATAACAGCAGACAAGAGTAGCCGGATGAATTCTGAAGTGTACCGGGATATACTGTCAGCCCAGATTCAGCCAAATGCTGCAAAGTTGATCGGACGGCGCTTCACAGTACAGATGGATAATGACCCCAAGCATACAGCCAAAGCTACCCAGGAGTTCATGAGAGCAAAAAGGTGGAATATTCTGCAATGGCCAAGTCAATCACCAGATCTTAACCCAATTGAGCATGCATTTCACTTGCTCAAATCCAGACTTCAGACGGAAAGACCCACTAACAAGCAAGACCTGAAGGCTGCGGCTGTAAAGGCCTGGCAAAGCATTAAGAAGGAGGAAACCCAGCGTTTGGTGATGTCCATGGGTTCCAGACTTAAGGCAGTGATTGCCTCCAAAGGATTCGCAACAAAATATTGAGAAAAAACTTTTTTGTTTGGGTTATGTTTATATGTCCAATTACTTTTGAGCTCCTAAAATGTGGAGTGTTTGTAAACAAATGTGTATAATTCCTACATTTTCTATCACATATTTTTGTTCAACCCTTTAAATTAAACGTTACAATCTGCACTTGAATTCTGTTGTAGAGGTTTCATTTCAAATCCAATGCGGTGGCATGCAGAGCCCAACTCACAAATATTGTGTTACTGTCCAAATATTTCTGGCCCTAACTGTACAATTATTATTGCTGCAATCACAGCTGCATGTCAAGTTTTTAGTTTCGGACTTTGACAGTAGGGTGAGTATTGACCATTTATCATTAAAAAAATGAGGATTTTGACAGATGTCATAATAAATTTCAATTAGACTTATTTTATTGTCATTGCACAAAGAAATATATGTGAAATTGGTAATGAAATGCCATTGCTTATTATTAAATATTGATGGTAAATAATAACAGTATGACAGAGATGTTATTTTTTCTAGTTTTTCTGCTGCTACAAGAAAACATCATGACCAGAAAAATGATGATTGACATAGATAACATCTTTTTAAAGAAGTGGTGTTCTGAAGAAACCTATTTCAGATGGGTATGTTTTTCAAGTCATACCCATATCACTTGTTACAGCAAGTAATATGTCTAGGAATTTTCTAACAGGTTAATGTGCTTTGATCTAAACCAGGAATGTCAAAGTCAAATAGATTGAGGGCCAAAACACCAAATTTGCTACAAGCCGAGGGCAGGACTGGTTCACCGTTTATTAAAACATATTGAAATGCTTGCACATAGCCTATTGACCTAACACAGTGTATATTATTTAATAATTAAATGAATAAAGCAATATTTTCTTATGGATCTGTCAGTAATTTCAAGTGAAACCATTTTTCAACAGGCAAACAGACAAAAACAAACTTCCTTCAAAGAAAAATATCATGTTCTGTACATTAAAAGAATAAAGAAATATTTTGTTATGACTGTCAGTAACCTCGAGGGAAAACATTTTCAACAGACAAACAACAAAACATTTCATTGTTTTGAAAACCTAAATATGTTTCTTAATATCAAGATAAATACATAAATTAAAGTGCACGCACTATAAACTGAAAATGCATTATTATGCTGCTCTATGATGTTCATATTCTTGTCTTTGTCCATATGTTTTTGAGAAGTTTGATAATGCCTTCTGAGATGATATTCTTTCATTACAGCCAAACTTTCTCCACACAGAAGACACACAGGCAGTGATGGCATAGTTACTTTCATCAGATTACTGATTACTCCTTGAAAAAGTAACTTAGTTAGATTATTGACTACTTGATTTGGAAAGTAACTAATTTACATTAAAAGTAATTATTTTAGTCACTGTCAGCAGCTGCTAACAATAACGCTCGGCCACCTGTGAACATAACATTGATCTTTGGCCAATACTTAATTGCAAGTTATTTTATAATGATTAGATCAACAATGTGTCTCCACTTATGTGGTTGAGGAGATAAGGGGAGATTGTTTGTTTAATGGTAACGACAGTACAAAAAAAAAAAAAACCTTCAGTAATGTGTGCTTGTTTTTGTGTGTTTCTGTTGTCTGGAAAACTAGGATTTCAGACCGCCTCCAGGTTGTGGAGGTGTCCCAGCCTCCAGGTTGTGCGTTACGGCCCTGCGTTTGCTGTCACAGCGCAGCGCTCCTCCTGCCGCACCGCAATAAAGATGTCCCGCTGCACAGATTTGTGACAGTTATCTTAATATTAATAATTATAATGGTTACTAAGCCCAAAACCCGCAACCCACGACTCATTTAATCAGCAAGTGCCTTTAAAAAAAATAAAAAGTAGAAACAAGCTGTTTATAATCTAACTCGGTGAGAGAAACTCAACATAGTTCCTGTTTTTCCAGCGACAAAATGAGCATCTCCCTCCATTGTTTCTGTCACTGCTGATACTGTTGCATTGACTCTCCCCAAGCCATGGAGAGGAAGTCAAATTTAATTACAAAACGAAAATAGTGACGCAAAGTGATTTCGATAAGTAACTGTACTCTGACTATCTGATTTGAAATAGAAACGTTAGATTACTCGTTAATGAAAAAAGTGGTCCGACGTCAGTAACACGTTGTTACTGACATCACTGCACACAGGTTTGTCTTTTACCTCCATGAACAAGAACTCTGCCTCCCACCTGGCCTGAAACCCTCTGTTCTCAGCGTCCACTAAATGTTTAGTCATTTTTGAGGAAGGGGTATCTGAAAGTTGATCTCTGCTCTGATTGCTGATGGAGTCGCTTGTGCTGCAGTGACTCCACAGGCTACAGTTGCTTTGTGGGGAATGTAGTGTTGGTGTGTGCAAAACGCCAGCGGGCCGGTTCTAATAGTAATTAAATATCATCCAGAGGGCCACAGAGAATGAATTCACGGGCCGGCTCCGGTCCGCGGGCCTTGACTTTGACATATGTGATCTAAAGCATTTGACATTCTCTGGCTGTATGTTCAGTCAGAGGTTAACCTGCACCTCAGTCCGCAGTATTCAGCAGGGTGTAACACTTTTCTTCGGTATTACTCTATTTATTTCCAATCATTTTCCCCATTGACTAGCTTTCCACCACATACAAATGGAAACGTTCAGAATATGGTTGAATTAGATGAATGCACTTTAAATGTCCCACTACTGAGCTCACTTTAACACAGGTAGATTTACTAATTAGGTGACTTGTAATGGTAGTTAGTTGTACTAGATGTTGTTGAGGGACATCAAGGTAAAGGAAGCTTAATATAAATGAATTACACTTTTCAGATTTTCACTTATTAAAAATACCTTATATACTCTACCCTAAACCTATATACATTTTAACCTTTTCCTTATACCTCAAAATCTGATGCTAACTTTTCTTGGTTTTTCACATAAAACCCAACAAAAACATTCAAGTTTGAAGTTGTAACTTGACAAATGTAAAAAAGAAAAAGCAAACGATATTTTGATTTGCAAAAATCCGCCATACCTGGGGAGATGGGCATGTTGTACTTTTCTGAGTAGCGTCGTCGCATCGGCCCCACGCTGTGGAGACTGTTGGATGTGATGACGGAGTGAGTCTGTGAGAGGGGCGTGAGGGGCGCTGTGGGCGTGGTGGGGGTCTGTGGGAGGCTCAGGGGCGGAGAGGCCTCGGGTGCCGACTTGGACAATGTGACGTTGGACACGAGGTTGAGCTGAGGAAAGGAAAACCACACAGAGCAGAGACCTTTGGGATTAAAACACCATTATTCACCTTTCAGCAGCATTGTTCAATTGAATTTGAGTTAGGTGCGGGCATTTATCGTATCGTTTCTTATTTATTGTGATAAATTTCTTTCTCTCACCACCGCCTTCACCAAATTTCCAAATAGGTGAAGGCATTTGTTTTAATGCGAGTATTCTAGTAATAAATGTAAAGTTACTGTGTATAGTCTAATGACAATAATCACTTTATTTGTGAGACTGATAATTTTTTTTTTCTTCTCATCACTTTTACTATAATCACAGCAGTATCACAGAAATATTCTGATAAAGAGGCAGTCATGTTTTCCAACCACATAATATAGCCCAGTAACTACGTTTCCTTAAATTGCTATAAATATGTTATATATCAAATTTGGCTTAAATTTGACTTTATAATTTGATGCCTTGAATTTGGGCCTCTGTCTCTCTCTGACCTTCAGAAAGTTAGCACAACATAGCTCCTCTATTAACAATGTTTGGACCAGTGTTGCACTGAGATGTAGCTTGCATAATGAGCTCAGCAGATTTTTGCTAATTGCTGCTGGTTAGTCTAAAGGAGCTGAGTGGAAGAGTGCGGGGCAGGGATGCTCTATAAAGCTACAGCTCTGAGGCTTGGATGAAGCAGAGCTTCATCTGAGAAGGTGTGCTAAGCCTACCCAGGCATTTTGCACAACTATATGGTTGCCTTGGAGTTTAAAGGATTTTGCAAACATGCATGAAAGAATCAAGGTAACCATGCTGGTGTTTTTATTTTTTTTATTTATTTTTTTATCAGAAAATAACAGCATGACATAAAACTCAATAAAAGTAAATTTTATGTAATAGTGCCCCTTTAAGTCCATATTGCCTAGTCTGGACAACTCATCCCGATTCTTGCCTACTGCTTAATAAGAACACCAGAGGAAGAAGCCAATCTGGGCTAATTACAAGCTGAAATTGTATTGTGAGGACTCTAATTAGGAGGTGCTTACAGAGGTGATGCCATGATTAACTACTGGGCCTTAGCGACCTCCATCATTAGGTCCATGATGGCCATTGTTAAGAAGAACCTCTAGTGTCTTCAGAGGCAGCACTTTGAAGAGAGTCTTTGGTTACAGTGCCGAGCAGGGATGGGTCAGGTCAGCCAAGGCGAAAGAGGGATTTAAGAAATAATGGCTACAAGGTAAACTAATTATGGCAAGTGCTCCAAAGGTACAACATGTTTTTCTTTTTTTCCCCTTCTCCTTCTGATAGCTGTAGCAGCAGCTCTGAGAGCTAAGCCTCTGTACTGGAGCAGTCAAGTGGAAATTTTTTGCCTGACCCCATGCTCCAGCTATTAATTGGCAGGAAAACTAATGACACATATACATATTCTTGCAAAATTGTTCTAATTGCTAATTTGCTTTAGGAGGTCAGTTTCCAAATGAAACATGATTTAAGATGGAGAGAGGAAAAAGGAGAAAATACTGAACGTGAAATGAAAAGAAAGATAGTTTCAAGAATCTGACATGTTGATTGTAAGGGATTAGAAGTTGGATTTTTACACATAATAAGGGTGAAAAGCTAATTTTTCATGCACGACACTAGTGTGTCACACGAAGAGACGATATAGCTTTAACACACTGCACAAATTTTACTTAAGCTAATTTTACTTATACAAGTAAGATATATTATTTTATTTTAAGAAAAATATTCTTAAGTACAGAAAATGTTACCTGACACTGAATTTCTTGAAACCAGCATATGCCTAGCTAAAACTAGTTTACTTTCATTGTTACTAAGGATTAAAAAATATATTTTGTCATTGTATATTTTACTCAAGATTCTTATGCTAAGGCAAAATTCCAAAAACTGATTCTGTCAATAATGGAACAACAGATGTTATTGGCTTGTTGAAATGAAGACATGAGTTCAATTACTTTGAACATCTTTATTATGTTTAAGTTTCACCTAAACACAACATGACTGGTGGTCAGGATTTAAAGGCTGGATGGACATCTGATTCTGAAACAATGTCAGAACATCGAAGATCTAACACATCTGCCGCATCTTATGAATGCGACAGACATCTTATGATGTCTGATGCGTGGGTAAATGAGTGTGATACTGTGCGTTTCTGGACCCAGTAAAAGGTTCTTTTTCATTTTTTCCTTCATCTATGTCCTATCGAGATTAGAGAAGTTGTCAAAAGTCAGTCTTATAAAAGGTACAGTAGATAATCACTTAGCTAGGCTTAACATTAATTAACATTAATCAGTGCAGATAAATTAACATTAATCAGTGCAGATAAACGATCTCTGGCATTGCCATTAGAGATTGATACTGAAATATCGTTTCTTCCGATACCCGAACTTGATGCTTTAAAATTTGTTTTCAAATCCAATTATCAATACTTTCAATAAATTAGTCAGTTGAGATGATGTAGCTTCACAAGAGCATGTTAAAAAGTAACTAAATTATTGAGACCTAGCCTAAATGAGAAAGGCTTGATGGGGAGTAGTTTTTCTTCTGCCTGGTAATGCGTTTGGACGTAATGTCCAAGCACAGAGTGCTCCTGATGCTCACTCACTCAGAAATGAACCAATTGGCAGATCATAAAAGAAGTGACATGGAGCTATTTCGACTTTCATTTTATAGTAGTTCTTAATAATAAAACAAAAAATTTTTTAGTTGGTTTATTTCTTTACTGATTGTTTTTTTTTATATTTGTGACATCATCAGACAACATTTTCACATATTGTGTATGATTTTTCTACTGAATGAAAAATCATACACATTATGTGTAATACACAGTAAACGAGATTGCTGTCTCAATGTACTTCTGAGTTTAAAATGAATACATTAGAGTACATTGTGTTCTTTTTATAAAGACTACAATATTTTTTCAGATCTAGCAAACAAATTAAGTGTCTTTGCACAAAGTATGGCATCAGTATTGCCGACACCAGCTTAAATTTTACTTGGTATTGGATCGGAAAGAAAATCTGACAAACATGGTAAACAAAATATTATTCAAAATATTAGTACCTTACAGAGTGAGAATTTCAAATATAAATCAAAAATTAAAATATTAACCATGACATTGCAGCTGATCAGTGCAGCTTACTAGCTGTACTAGTGCAGTACACCTCAGCGTATTTCACACACGGAGGTATTTTACCTCAGTGTGTGAAATACCAGCCGTTTCACACACGTTAATAGAAATGTTATGACACAGCAACTTCAGGCATCTTGCATCTTGTGGGATGCAAGATGCCAAGAACTTACATTTATGAAATGTAACCATGCTTGTGTCAGACCATTTTGCCATCTGACCATGGAAGATTAAATTATGGAAGGTCCATAGCAGATGAAAACATGCCAGGAATGATCTGGATGTACAAACTTCAAAATAGTTCAACTGTACAAACTTTGGGGGTTATTACATTAACAAAAGAATATCATATACTTTTAACACAAGAATTTCATGTTTCAAACAAAAATGTAATAAAATCATGTTGGATAAACAAGAAATTCAACAACTTAACATTTATGAAAGGTAATCATGTTGAGATAATGTGATTCATCACAGTCAGACTGATCTTGTGCTGAAGATGACGAGTGAGATCACGAGAGATAAGCGATATGGGAAATCACACGAGGTCACGCGAGATAATCGTTTTGCGAGGCTGGGAAAACTCCAGCGGCAGTTATGAGAAGAATACATTGTATGTATGTATATATATATATATATATGTATGTATATATATATATATATATATATATATATATATATATATATATATATATATATATATATATATTCACAATGTCGTGTTAGGGTTAGGGTTAGCTGGCAATTAATCAGTGTTTCTTTACCATTTGCACCATTTTCTGATTGTTCCATGCTTGTGTCAAAAAAATGTAATTGAGGTCGTCATTGCATTTCCTAAAAAATAACATGTTTTAACAAAAATAAGTTTGTGTTTCAAAGGCAAAAGTGATCAAATTCATGTTGGATAAAAAAGAAATTCAACAACTTAACATTTCTGAAATGTAATCATGTTGAGATAACGTGATTCATTATAGTCAGACTGATCTTTCACCGGGTAAGTCTTTTTTAAACAAACATTGTTTTGCAGTTTTGTGTTGGGTACTTTTGTTTCATTAAAGATTATTGAATTTCTTGCATTCAATGTCAAATTACCATGATTGTAAATGTATCAGTTATGTTTGGAGAGCAGAGTATTTTCCATTTGGTTGCAATACTTTGATGTCTGTGTAACAAGCAGTTACTACATTTTGTTTTGTTTCACTTGGTCAGATTTAAATTGACAATAAAATCAAGTGATTTTGATATATATGTGTATATTTTTTTAATTGTAAGAATAAAACATGTTTTGAGAGTTTGGTAAATTAAGTTGAAAGTTCACGTTTGACCTTTTAAAAGCTAGCGAAGTATGCAGTTTTTTGAACTACTGTAAAATGAAAACATTTGTAATTCTACTATTGAACTGCTGCAATTTTATTATGATAAAAATGTGATATGTCCGCAGTAACCATGTTGTATAATTGGTGTGCTATTTAAAAGAAATTACAGTTAAACTAATCAAATTATAATAATGTAGTCATGACAATTACAGGAAAAACTGCCATAAAAGCTGTCACAAAAATATTAGCTGCATCATTTATTGACAGACATATAACTATGAAATACAACTTAAAATGAAGTACGGTATGTCAAGACTAAAGCATGAAACGGCAAATTTCTCTTCTATTGGTCAATGGTTTTATTTTAAATATGCTGTATGAGCTGTAGTTTGATGACTGTTATAAATATCAGCACGTTTTACAAAGAAGGGGATTAGTTCACTTTTTGTTGCTTGTTTAACTGTTAGGAATTGCAGGGGCTGCAGTCCGCCACAGTAAGGATGCAATAAAACTGATAAACAGGTGAAGAACAAAACTAGACAAAACCACTTGTATTCTGCTG